TACAGCAGTATCCGATCAATTTGGTTTATAATTATTCAGTACACCGAACACTTAAATAAATTCAAATTACAGTATAACCATAACTATAGGAACTATATTTACCTAATTTGAATCATAATTAATGCACAGTTTATTGAGAACAAGCTCAACAAATCCATACCATAAATTTCCCAGCATTAGTAACATTTAGAAAAATGTTGTTTTATTATAGGTATTTACATTTGTAAGCTATAGAACATTAATAGGTTACACATACTCATACAAGTTTTAGTGCTAAATATTCGTTACTTATCTGTYGGTGGACATCAGTCACGTGCGTTCGACACGTACGTCAGATTCGAACAAGTTCCAACGTCCGACCGGAGACAACAAACTTATAACACGTATATATAATCCAGTTGATTTAGATTTTCAACCCCCAAAAAATTTGTTTCTCGAAAGGCACGTGTTAAAATATTCGAGGATCATATAAGGCGAGGGTGTACACATTCCGTATCCTATACCATATAGCCGCTGAAACTGTTACCCAAGTGTTTCAGAACTGGCGGTTCCTACGAGTTCGGTATTATTATCACATAATAATATAATATATGGTGGTCGATTTATTTTGCTGAGACAGTGACTGATATTCCGAGACCTTTGTACTGTATTGATTAGACTGCGTATCCTACCCCATACTTCATGGCGTTTTGTTCGTATACCGGAGTACCTTGATATTATAATATTATTATAGTATTGTGTCGGCTGGCTCATCTTTACGATTGAAAAGCGATTCGTGTTCCCCGTGCCGCGATGATATAAGATAAAGCAATAATGATTTTTTTCTTACTACCGTTTACCATATATTATATCTATTCGTATAATAGCGTATGACATTCAACATTTGAAAAATGACGTCATCTCGTGATCATATTTTCATATTGTATAATACTGTACTTTATCTAATATTAATTATCTAAGGCAATCAGGTTTTTTATTGGCATTGAAATTTAATTATTGTACGAGTGTAAGTGTTTCCAAGGATTTGTTGTATACGCCTCTAAATTGCACCTAAATCATTCAATTGACATAGTAAATGTCAATAATGGTTTCGGTCCTAAAAGTCCGATCCAGTCACAGTGCATACACCTCTACATCACAAAAGGGCCCAGGAAAATATTTGTAAAGTTCATTGTGCATGACGTGCTTTGAATAATAGTCTAAATATATCCACTATTAGACATATTAATTCATTTTGGGCTTACGAAACGTCGTCATTATTTAAATCTAATTAAATATATAAAACTAATAGAATCGTTTTGTTTTAAAACTTGACATCAGGTTAGGTTAGGTTACTCATTGATTGATACAGATAGAAATTTATTTTTCTATCACGTAATGTATTTCTATCTACGATGCATAATGATTATTAAATATTCTTATAAAAGCATGAGCAACACTTTGGTGAATCGTGGGAATTGGAAAAGAATTCATTTATGTTGTATTTAACGTATTATGATTATTTTTAATATTTTATCATTTGCATACAAAAAAATTCGTTGTTTACCCATTTACTTTTGGGAGCTAAAAATTAAGATTTACATTGAAAAAAAACGATATTGGTTAATTAACTTTGTTTATGTGTCTTAATAGCACAGATAAAAAAAATTATATTAGGTATATTTATTTAACTATATATTTTTAATATAAATTATTATGGTTATAAAAAATATGTTTAAATTTTTTTGTACAAAATATATAGGTATAATCACTACAAATTAAGGGTTTTTTAAAATTATTTTAAAATTAAATAAACACATTTATAGAGTTGCTCAGTTTTACTTAAATAGTATACAGTATTTTTTAATTTAGAAAGTATTAACGATTATAGCTACGTTTGACAATATTTGTTATAAAATTAATTATTTTTCTTTTAACGTAATATCCATGATATATATATATATATATATATATATATATATATTATATTTTATACCACTAAACTAGGTATTAGTTTCTGCCCATTACTGATGGAAAACGTATTTACGTTTTGTTTACATTTATCCAGCTTGGGTACTTAATAATTAATAAATGCGATGATCAGATTCGGTTTAAATCGCTGCACCTACTATAGAATAAATATGTAACTTATTGTCAACCTTGGTATTACTTTAAAATAAATAGGGTGAGATTAGGAAAAGAAAATTTCTCCAAAATTGGTCTACCGACAAATATAAGTTTAATACGTTGAATGTTATTCATATGATATAATAATTGGCACCTCGAGGATATTAGGTATAGATGGTCAGATGGATAAGATAGATTATTTCTTTAAAGATCTCTATAGTTTTTTTGTGTATTTTTGAGTTTTTAGCAAAATCTTGAGGCCAAAATATGTTATGTATGGGCATATAAAATGGGTATACAACTATTGTTATACAATATTACAAGTACCTATTTAATATAGATAATCATAAATATACTATGTTTTCTAATAAAAATTGTATATTTTGTAACGTGGTTGGGAGGGGGGGATGATCAGTTAAATATGAGATATCTAGAGTCATATAATCTTATGACCCTACAGATATAATTACCGTAGTCAGGGGTACATAATATATTTATAAGACTTTAAATATAGCGAGARTTCAATTTAGATATAATCATTGTTTATTGTTTTATTTAAAGCAATGTTATAARTTTTTAACTAAAGGTTTACTGCAAGTTGGATTGTCTTGTAGCCTAAGAATCCATGCTGGTAATCTCAGAGAACTGAACTTTTATTATTGATATATTTGACCATAGCCTTACAATAATAAATCTGTGACAAATATGAGGGGCTAGTCAGCATAAATAATACGAGTATATATGTTATGTTTATAGTGTATATAATACATATATGACATAAGTATATATCATATTTAGGTGCCTATTGTATATAATTATGTTTATAATATATAATTAATAATGCTACAATCGTTACGATTTAAAACCGTTTTATACTAGGTACTTATAACGTTATATTTTTTCTTTTTTATTAGGTTAAACTATAGGGAAACATTATGTTTACCATTAGAGGGAGTATGTGAATTATATTATGAACAAGAGATTTTTTTTTTTTACATTAATTTTGCTAATCATATGTTAATGAAGATATTATATACATATATATTATATATATATATATTTTTTTGAAGTTTTCTTCGCCAAGTGTTATTATAATATTATAATTTATATTTGTTTATAAAATTACTTAAATAACTTAAGGGAAAAAAAATAAAAATAAAATTCAGGATTCACTAAGTACCAGGATTTACATACTGTATGTTGAATATTTAAAAAGTCTGCAGTAAATGTAATTCAGTTAGTGAACATGCCAAATATATTTAAGAATTTTTTTTTTAAATTTAATATATGAAATATAATTACTATTATATGGCATGGTAAACCAAAGTCTATTAGTCTGTATAAACTCCTTTAAAATATACACATTTTAAATTTTATATTAAAATGATTTAACTAATATATTATATTAGGTATATTATGAAGTGCCTAATATACGGACATAGGTACGTTGAACATTATTTCTGTTATAATAATATATTCTATTCTATTTATATGAATAACATAAAATGAAAAAACATTTTTATAACGTAATTTATTCAACTACGTATCTATAGTGCATTATTATTATGTTTCGGATAAATTCAAACCCTGACGCTGTCCGAACAATATTATATTTTAATACGAATATTCCTATAATAAGTATAATAAGTAACAGTACACTGAGCGCACCTTTATGACGGTTCAATAAAATATAGGTAGGTAATTCACCATGCGAATGCACTATAGTCTGAGTTGAATTTCTAAGTGGTGATTACGAGTGCTCTAGCTCGTGTGATGAATTCGACCAGTAGGTTCTCACAGTGAACAAATGTAGGGCAAAAATGCCAACACGATTATAATTTTTAGAATTCTGTCTTGTGCTGAAGAACAACTACGGTTACACTTCGTTGGAATCGCGACAAAAATAACAGTTTAACGTTCATTGGCAAAATTGCAAGAAATAACTATTTTTTTTAGGTATATGCGCCGAGTTCAAAAAAACATACATTATTTTTCGCAGCTGTATACATAGAATAATATATAAATATATATATATTATTTTTATATTAAAAGCCTTATGGTTTTAATAATTTAGTTAAGCATTAAATTTTAGATAGACAAAAAAATGTGCATATTTGTGTATTACTATCGAATTAAAAGCAAATCTACTTAGCGTCTTTGAACTCTTTGTAAAATATAAAGCAACCTAACCTATCGGAAGACTATTCAATACGCGTTCAATACATCAAAACGTCTTTATTGGTATAGTTGGTATTGCTGTTTTACTTTAAGATGGTAATAAATTTATATTTTATATCTTGATTGGGATAAATATATAACTAATATGTAATGAATCTGCAGTTTCAAACATTAAGCATGTGATATTCAAAAATTATCAATTTTGTTAAATCTTGTATATTATTATGAATATATTATATTATATGATACGGCCTACGGGTAATGTGGAATATAGCCAATATAATAGGTATAAAAATGATACAAAAATGGTACGTTATAATTCATTAATGCTTACACATATTTAATGGGTACGACATTTAAATTTTAAACCATCATCTAAACAAATTTTTCCATTTAAAATTTATCAATTTGCAATATTTCTATTTTAAATCAATGTAGTTAAAATATAATTTACTTAACATAAATAACATATTTTAAATTTTTAGAAATTTAATAAACCATTTAAATTATTAAAAGTTTTATACATTGCACACTATACCTAGATTGTGAAATTGAATGAAATATTTAATTCAATGGTAATGAGACACATTTATATTGCTAGTATTTTTGAGGTTCGAAAAAAAAAACTTTCCAATCAGATATTGTATTATGCTAAGTTTTATTCAAACTTTCAATAGCTCTTAATATCTATAATAAAACATTAAATTTCATTTTAGATGTGTTTAATACTGTTCGCAATTTTTGGGATTCAGTTGGCTTTTTCTCAGCAAACTAACCCAAATGATTTGGAAGTGGTGCTTAACATTGAAGATAGCAACAAAACTCAATACCATGAKCAAAATTTCGATACCAGTATGTATTTTTTTAGCCATATATTATTTGATAATATATTTTACAGCATTTTTTTTACATTTGATAGTGGCCTATATATTCGGCTACGAAGTAGGTCCAAATGGTCAATTCCATCACGAAAATAAAGGTCCAGATGGATTCACATATGGTTGCTACGGATATGTAGACCCAGAAGGAAAATTACAAGCAACTCATTATATATCTGATGGCTGGGGATATAGAGTTGTCACGCCAGGTGAATCTGTAGAAATATTCCATCATAAACATGACCCTGCAGATGAAAATCAAGCTAATGAAAGTTCTGAAGGTGGTTCTGAACACGAACATCATGGACACCATGGAGTGGTAACAGCGTGGGGTGATCTTTATTTCCCAAAAGGTTGTGGAGGAGGACGTCCAATTCAAGGTACAGGTCAATTGGGTGGATCAGGCTCATCAGGATACCCTAGTTTTGTTGGAATTGGTCAACCAGGAGCAGCAGGTACACCTGGTAATTTATTATATCGATTTTTAAAATTTAATAAATGATAATATCCAAAATAATAATTTGGATAGTTTTAAATATTAATTATTTTTTAAATATTAAATTTTTAAAATACAGTAAACATTTTTTGTTTTCAGTTTCATTAAATTTATTCAATTAACTACTTTAAAATTCTAAAATTCGAAACTATACATAGAAGTATTTTAAACTTATATTAAGTATAATTATTATAATGTAAAAATATTTTTAATGGTAACTGTATTAGATATGCCACTAGGTAAAACAAAAATAAATATTCTGAAACAAAATTATATTATTGAAGGATCTCCAGGTTCTCCAGGATCTCCCGGTTCTCCAGGATCACCAGGTTCCCCTGGATATGGAGGTTCTCCAGGATCTGGTGGCTCTCCAGGATCTCCCGGTTCTCCAGGATCACCAGGTTCCCCTGGATATGGAGGTTCTCCAGGATCTGGTGGCTCTCCAGGATCTGGTGGCTCTCCAGGATCTCCAGGATCACCAGGATCTCCAGGATCACCTGGATCTCCAGGATCACCAGGTTCCCCTGGATATGGTGGTTCTCCAGGATTTGGTGGCTATCCAGGATCTGGTGGATCTCCAGGATCCCCCGGTTCATTCGGTAAACCAGGATACCCAGGATCACCAGGATCACCCGGATCCCCAGGATCACCTGGATCCCCAGGCTCACCAGGATCACCCGGATCCCCAGGCTCTCCAGGATCACTTGGTTATCCAGGACAAGGATCTCCAGGTTCCCCAGGATCACCAGGCTCTCCAGGATCACCAGGCTCTCCAGGATCACTTGGCTACCCAGGGTTAGGAACACCAGGCTCTCCAGGCTCTCCAGGATCACCAGGCTCCCCAGGCTCACCAGGGTCAGGATCACCAGGATCATTTGGCTATCCAGCATTAGGCTCACCAGGTTCACCAGGCTTACCAGGCTCACCAGGATCACCAGGTGCACCAGGATCCCCAGGATCACTTGTTTACCCAGTATCAGGATCTCCTGGATCATTTGGTTACCCTGGCTCACAAGGATCTCCGGGTTCACCAGGAGCTCCGGGAGCTCCGGGATCACCAGGTTCACCAGGGGTATCAGGATATCCAGGATCACTTGGTTACCCAGGAACAGGATCTCCAGGATCATTTGGCTATCCAGGCACTCCAGGCACACCAGGCACACCAGGCTCACCAGGCAAACCAGGCAAACCAGGATCAGGATCTCCAGGAGGATCTCCAGGATCATTTGGCTATCCAGGCACACCAGGCTCGCCGGGTTTACCAGGATCACCAGGTGCACCAGGATCCCCAGGATCACTTGGTTACCCAGGAACAGGATCTCCAGGATCTTTTGGCTATCCAGGCACATCAGGCTCACCGGGTTCACCCGGCTCACCGGGCTCACCGGGCTCACCGGGCTCACCAGGCAAACCAGGATCTCCAGGGTCAGGATTTCCGGGATCATTTGGCTATCCAGGTACACCAGGCTCACCGGGTTCACCAGGATCACCAGGTGCACCAGGATCCCTAGGATCACTTGGTTACCCAGGAACCGGATCTCCAGGATCTTTCGGCTATCCAGGCACATCAGGCTCACCTGGCTCACCGGGTTCACCAGGCTCACCAGGCAAACCAGGATCTCCAGGGTCACTTGGTTACCCAGGATCAGGATCTCCGGGATTATTTGGCTATCCAGGCACACCAGGCTCACCGGGCTCACCAGGCTCACCAGGCACACCAGGATCCCCAGGATCACTTGGTTACCCAGGATCAGGATCTACTGGATCATTTGGTTATCCYGGTTCACAAGGATCTCCGGGTTCACCAGGAGTTCCGGGATCTCCTGGCTCACCAGGATTCCCAGGTTCACATGGTAAACCAGGATATCCAACCACACCAGGATCACTCGGATACCCAGGTTCAGGATCTCCAGGATCATTTGGCTATCCAGGCACACCGGGCTCTCCAGGCTCACCAGGATCTCCAGGCTTACCAGGATCACCAGGATTACCTGGTAATATTAAGAAATTCTTAGTTTGAAATTAAATGAATTGTATGGTTAAAAAAAATGGTTTTTCCTAAAATCGCTTTTACAAAAAGTATCCAGATGTATTTGCTGACCACGAATATTGATTCAGCTTCTTACTGCCCTTAAAAAAAGTAGTTGTAATTATTCTGAATTCAGGTCATAAAAGAGTAAAAACAACTTTAAAAAGATCCAGCAAATACCTAATTTACATAGTCGTTTAGCTCCATGAAAGTGATTATAGTTGCATTATCACTTCTCAGCCGATTTCTATATGGTACAATTATTATAATAATTCATACAAACTTACATCATAATACACCACTTGAACGTTCATATTATAATTACCAAGTGAACTTGTAGTGTGAATTATAAATTATTTTTAAAAATTGCACCGTATAATCTGTTTAATTTTATATCAGATTGGAAAAATCTGTTAAAATAGTTAAATTTTTTTCAAATTTGATTTTTTTCCAGGCAAACCAGGTTCAGGATTATCATCATACCCAAAACCAGGTAATTTTACAACTTACTGTGTTCAAAATTCAATTTTAATATTTTAATATATCTTTATTTTTAATATTTAATTGTTTTTTTATTAGGATCCCCAGGATTCCCAGGATCCCCAGGGTCTCCAGGACTCCCAGGTAACTTAAATGGATACAATTTATTTTAATTATTTTATATTTTTCAATTTTGTATTTTGATTTAATTATTAATGTGAGTATAATTATAATGTATTTAATCAAGGTCAACCAGGTCAACCAGGATTACCGGGAAGTCCATCTTCAGTTTATCCTAGTCCTCCAGGTATAAATATGTATAGTTAAATGATGTTTAATTATTTATTAAGCTTTTTACTTTATATTAATATTAACTTTAAATTCATTATTTTTTTTCTCTCACTCTGTCTCATTCATATCATAGTAAAATAGCAAATTAGAGAGAGAAAACAAAATAGTGTACTTCCATCATCTTTTCACTTGATTACTATGTTCAATTATATCTAGGGTCGGTGGGGGGGGNNATTTTGGAATTTGAGAAACTCGTCAGTACCGACCATAAATCAATAATCATTATATTTTTAAACCACGGTCACGAGTTGTTTTTCAAAGCAAATTGACTATACTCCATCCCAAAAGAGAATAATCACTTTTCGCGCATGTAGACTGAGCATTATGGCAGCGCCAAGGCCAACTTTCTCCTACCTAAATCAGCCCTATATAACTTGTAGTTGGTTGGAGATGCGCGGAAATGAACGATAACCGGTCGGCCGACTGATTATTCTTTTTTGGGATAGAGTATAGAAAGAAAAAAATGGTGATTGCCTGATATGGAAAGAATTTGGAAACCATCACATGCATATTAATTTCACGAGTATTTCAATTAACTGTTTTTGCAATAATGAATACAAATTGTATTATATATTGTTTATAATAATAGTTTTTTACTTTACTTCAAATTTTCAGTAGAACTAAAATAATAGTATATTTTGTTTTGTTATCTAGGACCACAAGGGCCATCAGGTTCTTTAGGTGCTACAGGTAGCCCAGGACTACCTAGCTTACCATCTTATCAAAAACCAACAGTTTATCCGACATCCACTTATCCCGGGAGCTCAGGTAATTTTTATTTATATGATGTTTGATTTAAAAACCATTAAAAAAATATAATTCACAAATTTTTCAATATTTTGAATTAGGATTATAGAAAAGTTATTTTAAAAAATTTAATTTTGATAAATAAAACTTTTTATATAATGTCAATACATGAATATAATTTTTTAAATTGTATGTATGATACTGCAGATAGCTAAAAGAAATTATGATATTGAAAATGTTTTTTAATATTTTTTAGGTTCTCCAGGCTCCCCAGGTTTCCCAGGAGCTCCAGGCTTACCAGGTTAATATTAAACTAAACATTTGTATAACATATTGAAAAAAATAGTACCTTTTAAAAAAGCTAAATAAATTATATTTTGACTTTAATTTTATAGGTAAACCAGGATCTCCAGGCTTTCCTTCATATCAACAACCATCCCTTTACCCTAGTTCATCTTATCCTAGTGCACAAGGTAAATATGAAAGAAAATTATTAATCTAAAATAAATAACTTTTATTTTATGAATAATTTATTTATGAATAAATCCATGATCATATATAATTGAATTCTATAAAAATTATTGATTTTTTAGTAATTTGTTAATTATTTTAAAATATTGTAGACCAACAATTGTATAAATTATTAAATGATTATATTTTTAATTGTACTTAGGCTCGGCAGGTTTACCAGGAACACCAGGAATTCCAGGTTGGTATTTTATTACTTACTGATTTAACTAACTTTAAATTAATTTTGCTTAGGCTTACAGTTATTTGATAGTCAAACAATGCAGAAAAGAATAAAATAAATAAATAATTATACACAATGTATTTATAAAGTGTTTTTAAATTATCGTAAATATAACATTTGATTTATTTTATATAGGKGCTCCTGGATTGCCAGGTTCACCAGGATCATCTTTATATAACAGACCCTCGTCATACCCAAGTGGTCCAGGTAATTTTATTAAGATCGCAATTCATAAACGATTTAACATGAATAAATATTTAATTTTAATCAAATGTTTTTTTAATTTTAATTTAGGGTCACCAGGGTTACCAGGTTCACCGGGATTACCAGGTATAATTAAATGTTTTTTAAAAACTAATATAACAGTTAAAAATAAATACCTAAATATTAATAATAATAAGTACATGAATATGTTTAAAATTTATTTCGATAATAGTAATTAATTAATAAACAAAATGAATTATTTATTTAGGAACACCAGGTCTGCCTGGTTCATACCAAAAACCAACACAGTACCCAGGAACATTATACCCTAGCGGATCAGGTACTTTGAAAGGCTTTATCAAAACTAATTTTTAATTTAAAAAATGTAATTCTTAAATTATTTAACAGGAGCTCCGGGATCACCAGGCACACCAGGCTACCCAGGATTACCAGGTATAAATTATATATATAAAATATAACACAAAAATCTACATTTTAATTCATAAATTAATTAGTTTGTTAACGTAACATGATTGATTTAACTCAGAGTTTAAAATTTTTTTTATATGCATATAGTGTAATAGTTATTATTTTTAGGCCAACCTGGAACCCCAGGATTATCAGGTTCTTCACCCTATCCGAAACCTTCATACCCTGTAGCTCCAGGTTCACCAGGTACACCAGGATCTCCAGGTTTTCCCGGTCTACCAGGTAAATTAATTACTTTTTTTTTAAAATAATTTGTATGCTATTTAAACATGTGGTGTAACATACTGACATAGGTAGATTGGCCTACTTCATTTTGATATAAACATATAAGTTCCTACTAGAAACATAATTCTAAGTTGATATTTTCGGAGTGAGTGAGATATTTGTAAGGTGTATCAAAGTCGAGAGTTGATGTATAATTTAAGTGTTCTTTGAAGTTTTTTTTTTTTAAATGTGGAGTAGCTGAGTAGGTTTATGTTGTATTAGTACCTATATTGTACAAGTAATACATTTGTTTATAATATTATATGTACAATGAACGTATAGTACAATCAATATGCTTAATTATATTTAGTGTATCCATAAACACCTATATTTAAATGCGAATTGTAATTGGTTATTTTGTGATTTTATAATGTATTAATATTAATAAATAGGTACATTATAAAATATGATCGAAAAATTTAATAAATTAATCATCCTGTTAGGGTAACTTTAAAATAAACTACTAATTACTAATTTCTAATTATTTGATTAAAGGAAAACCAGGATCTTATGTTCCGCAATCTTCATACCCAGGATCCGCTTATCCAGGCACCCCAGGTATAGATAAATATTTAAAATATTTATATAATTTTCTTCAAAATGCCAATATCGCTATCATATAAAATATAGCATTGTAAAAAACTCATATCATATAATCTGTTTTATTTTTCTTACTAGGTCAACCAGGCCTGCCAGGAACTCCAGGGTTACCAGGTATATGCCTATTTAATATAATATTATATAACATATTTAATTTGAATAAAATGATAATAAATATTTAATATCAACCTTTTTAATAAAACTATGTAGGTAAGCCAGGAGCATCAGTTATACCAAGTATACCGTCTGAAAAACCACAACCAACCTATCAAAAACCAAATTCAGGGTACCCCGGAAGCCCAGGTAAATTAATATTTTTTATAAATATTTTTAACAAGTTTATATTAAGTATTATATTAGAAAGACATTTAGTTTAAATGATCAAAGTATTTTATTTTACATAATATATCCTAATAAGAAATAAAATATTTTCAGGTCAACCAGGTACTCCAGGTTTACCAGGAGCTCCAGGATTACCAGGTACAATTTCATACCCGAAACCCACACCACCATCTACATATCCCGTTGGACCAGGTAATATAATAACAAATATATGTAAAAATTAGAATTACAAATGGGGTTTTTAAATAAGATTCATTCATAAACATTTTAATATATATATTACACTTATTTTAAATATTTGTATGGTTTATCTATTTATTCTAAATTTGTACAACTTAAATTATTTTATTTATGAATTGGAACAAAAAATGTAAAATCAAATAAACATACTATATAATAAAATAGATTTAAAACCAATAAAAATATCTATGAAATCATCATCACAGTATTATTATATTAGGATTTATTTATTTACTTATTTAAAAATATTTTTTATTTTTCAGGTCAATCAGGATACCCTGGATCTCCAGGACTTCCAGGTAACTTTATTCACATATTATCACCTGTAAAAAATTAGTATAAAAATGTTGGTAAATATTTAATAAAAAATGCTATAATAATATACAATAAATACAAAATATGGAAAATATTTTGATTGATATAACATTGTTAATTATTTATTAATGATTTACAACATTGTTTAATTATAAAAATAAGAATTAAAAAATTACGTAAAATAACTTAATCAATATAAAATTCATTTTTATCTCTATAGGCCAACCCGGAACACCAGGTCTACCTGGGTCTGTATACCAACCCTCATATCAAAAACCAACTTCCGTTAACCAATATGGAAATCCTACTTTATATCCAGGATCTTCATATCCTGGAAGTCAAGGTAAACAATTAAAGTTAATATAAATAAAATAATTTAAAAAAAATGTTTAAGTATAATATTGTTCTTACTTTTGATTAAAAACAATAATTTAATATAATTTGATTTTTGTAGGATTACCCGGAACACCAGGATTACCAGGTATCTACTTATTATTAATTTATATTTTATTTTATGAATAGTATTATGAATGCCCGAAAATGATTAATTTAATATTTAAATCAATTAACTTTGCTAAAATCTATAAGTTGAAAAATAATTGTCAAAGTAAGAGTTTAAATTTTTTATTTAAGGTCAACCAGGTACACCTGGAACACCAGGGTCCGCTTATCCAGGTTCTACGTTAAATCAAACACCTAATTATCAATCTGTGAAACCAAGCTCTCAGGGATATCCAAGTTCTTCATATCCAGGAAGTCCAGGTAAAAATATTTGAAAAGTTGTATGATAATCAATCAGTAGAAATAATGAAATCGGAATGATTATAGTAATATATATTTCACATTTTTATTTATGTTTTAGGTCAACCAGGTACCCCAGGATTACCAGGTACATAACATTATTATATTTCTACGACTTAAAATTTAAAAAAGAAACATTAGTATTGTTCATCTAATTTAAAACAAAATTGTCTGTTGCTTAAAACTGCACTTTGTAGAAGACTAAAAGTGTTTATTCTATAATAATTTGGGACAATTAGTTAAAAGTGAATATTTGTCAAAAAAAAAAAGGTTCATTGGTCAAATTCATAATTCATCACAAATACAGTTGAAGAAATAATACTTATTTTTTATTTGTTCTGAAATTTCATATTTGTTTTACTCATTCAAATAATAATAATAATTTTTTTTTTTTTTTTTATGTCATCATTTATTAATTCAAAATTTAAGTACATAATATATATATAATAATAATTATGATATTCACATAAAAAACTTTAAGTGTCAAGAATTTTAAATTATTTCTTAACAAAAAAATATTTAAGAAATATAAATTTATTGTATTTTTTATGTAAAAATTTGTCAAATATAATTTTAGGTCAACCAGGAACTCCAGGTATACCAAGCCAGCCGTCTTATCAAAAACCAAATCCACCAACATACCCAGCTAAACCAACATATCCTCCTCAACCATCTTATTCTGGTTACCCCGGAAGCTCAGGTAAATACAATTTGAAAAAAAAAACCTGTTGCAATAATATTCTTAATAGGTAAGAATTTAAAAATAAAATTGCTTCGTTATGTTATCTAAATCCAAATAGCTGTTTAATCAACTTTAAACATTTAAATTGGATACAAACGATGTTTATAACTGTGATTTATATCTTAGGTCAACCAGGAAAACCAGGAACTCCTGGTACACCAGGTACACCAGGCACACCAGGCCTTCCTGCGGGACCGCCTTACCAAAAACCTACTCCCCCACCTGCTGGATATCCAGGTTCTCCTGGTAAGCCAGGTATGTTTAAACTTAAATTTAGACCTAAACAATTTAAATAAAATGTAGTTACCTATTTTCTATTAAATTGCTAGTTGGTATTTATTTTTCATAGTTTGAGTTTCTAAATCATTAAAATTTGTTTTGATAATTGTTCGTCTATTCACCTGCATTTTGCAATATATAATTTAAGCATTTAAAAAAAAAAAATATTTCAGGACAACCAGGAATCCCTGGTCTCCCAGGCATTCCAGMTCAATCATTTGGTCAAAATCCTCAAACTTCGGTTGACTACGGAAAACCTAATCCATCGGGATATCCCGGTTCTACTGGTAAGATATATTATAACTAAGGGATTTCGACCATTAAGGTTACGATTAAGGTTTAATAATAATAATAATAATAATCGAAATTAATTTTTTTGTGTAACATAGTCATGTTTTTGTTTAAGGTCAACCAGGCCTTTCCGGTCAACCAGGCACTCCAGGAACTCCAGGAACCCCAGGAATCCCAGGTTCTTATCCCACTTTACCAAAACCCAGCTCATCTCCAATAAATTCAGGCAGTGGAAGTGTATCAGGTGAATATTCAAATAACTATACACTTTTAAATCCATAATGAATCAACATAATTTTTTTTTAAGGTTCACCATCTAATGGTTATCCATCATCAATCGATCAAACTCAAACAGGTTATCCAAATAAACCTGTTTCTCAACCATCATACCCGAGTCAGAACTATGTTTACCCTACCAGCTATCCTCAAAGACCAGATATTCCTGACTACGGAGCACAGCAACCAAATGAATATCCTGGATATTTAAGTTCCGGTTATCCAGTACCTCCACCTCCCAACGCACCACTTCCTAATTACCCACCACCTAGTTCACCATCTGGTTACAATGGTTATTTTGAGTTGTACCCGGGTCAAAATCAAATATACTCAGGTCAACCTGATTCTAATGTATACCCAGCTGGTAATCAATATTCTTTCAATGGTTATCCTGAACAACAATTTACTTACCCTGCAAAAGAAAACAAAGGTAAAACGCCTCAAATAACTACACCCGTTTCAACTTCAACATTGGGTTATACAAGCAAGTCTAGTCAAACTACTGTGCAATATCCAAAAACGCCTAGTTTGATAGATATACGTGTTAATGTGCCAAATGAACCTCAATTCAACGATGGTCAAAAGTCCGTAAATTTAGGTAAAAACGAATTAATAGGACCATCGTCAGGATCATCTGGATATTCTAGCTCACTTACTCCACAATACGTGAATAGTCCTACAAAGGCACCCAAATTACCATATCAATTTGGTCAAGAATCAAACCAGGTAGTCTTATCATCAAGCAAACCAGAATCCAGTACTCCGTTGTATAGTGTAACCTCTAAAATATCATCGACACCTGAAAATATTAATTCAGTGGAATCAAGCAGTACCATATCATATGAAGATCAATTTAGTACTCTTTCACCAGATTCTTCGACACCTGTCAATATAATTCCTTATCCTTTGCCAATTGTGCCTAACCCAGGATCTTGCCCATGCTATTTTGTCCCCCCAACAAATAATAATTCTTCCAATCTATTGCAACAACAGCAACCAACGTTTGACTTAAACAATCTCCCTGAGGGTGCTGTTATTGGATTTGTGCCAGTAGTATTTTATCCATCATGTGGAGCAGGAAGTGTAGCATCAAAAGAAATACTGTCATCTAAGTTAGAGCCTGTTTTTCCGTCGGCTTATCAAGTACCATATAAATGTTCGTATTGCGAACAAAGTGAATCACAAACTGCGACCATCAGAAGCAGTTTTAATCAAGTACTAAAACAAAGTCAATTAAATCCATCCGTTGTAATAAAAAGTCCAAGTAGAAAGAATTACCCAAACGCCCCAATTTATGACCAACAAGAATTTGGAAAAAAGATAAAAGTTGTAAACAGAAAAACTAATGATGAATAATATTGGAAAATTATAATAACACTCATTTAAAGACTAAAAAAACAATAAATTAGAAAACAAATAAAACGGCAATAGGATGAATATAACATCTGAACATACAAACAAACGATTGTGTCCATGTTATATTACATACAATATCAATTGAAAATCATACTGCACTATAAAATTTAATGCCACAAAGCTCAGGTAATTTTATTTTTAGTTTAAGTTGATTTTATTGATTTTAATCGAAATAATAAGGATAATTTTTTAGGCAGTTTGTTTTATTACATAAAATTTTAATTGTACCAATTGGATTTAAGTGAAAATTTTATATTATGTTTATAAGCTTATATTATTTGTTAATTATAACCCGTCCAGAAGTTACCAAATATTTACTGTCAATTTATAGATATTCTCGTAAGCCTATATAAATCTATTGTTACGATAAAACTGTATATATTTATGTGAAGGTAACTCCTGGATAGACGTTGATTGACAATTTTGATTTTCTTTTTAATGAATATTTGTTTCTATGTGCCGTACCTAAATGTCAATTAAAAATAAATAAAGTATAAATAATTTGAATTATAAAATTGTGTGCTCATTTATTAGTTAGATATGCATTTTTCCATTTAAAATTAGACCTTTCAAAAAAAAAAGTGAAACGATATAGTTAATAGTTGGGGAAAATAATATTGTATTAAGATATATAATAATATAACTTAAATTATCTTTTTGATATATTTTTACTATACATACAATTATTATTTATTTATATATATTAATTTCAAGTAACTTATTAAATTAGGACTTAAAATGTATACATATACATACATGTACATTTATACATGTATATACATATGTTTCCAATAGAATTTTAAGTTAATGTTATGTATATAATATGATAAGCAGCATTAATTTATATGCATACCACTTCATAGAGTATGTGGCATATTATTTATGATTTATGATTTATAAATATATTTTTAGTTAGGCCAATTAAGAAAATTTCAAAATTACAGATGGATTTTTCACAAATAGATATAGGTACACTCTAATATCATTATTCAATATAACAAGCAATGGGTCTTTATAACATGTATGTTAAATTTTATGAATGTAATGAGTGAAATATATTCTAAACATTCCTACATATTATACTTCGTGCTGGTGAAGTGATATCGAATCTTGGAAAATACTATCACGTGTATAGCAAAAATATACGCCATTTTATTGTAGTATATACTATATAGATATTTAATATTATTCACAGTTGGATTATTTAAAATATGATGATTTAAAATCATAAAGATTTTGACGAATATTATTAAAACATAATATTGAGAATTGTTAGCTACAACTTATGATTACGTTGAATATTATTTTGATACTTAAAAATTATATTATATATAAAACAAAAACACTACAAATCTATACACTCTATTTTTGCTTTAGAGAATAGAATGTTTAAGACTTAAAACGAATTTTCCTATTATTTTTTAGATAGGTTCTGGAGCAGAAACAATTAAATATCAATTAAAGGATAATGTGAAATTTGTTAAGCCATATAGACCACTGATAAAATATATAGGTACTTATGCATTATAATTTAAATAAAATTAGTATAAATGGCTTAGATTGTAACAGTTACTTCTGGAAATGCAGCGAAACGAGCCAATAGCAATGTGAACTGTAAACTGTTCATACTTAGTGGTAGTTTAATTGGTATACGGATTAATTTACAATGTACCCTTAAAACTGTGATATTATTATTTTTTCTTGAAAATAAAAGATTCTGGATATTTTACATGACGGAAAACATTCGTTGGTATGCGTAATAATGTTATTTATATTATAATATATTCGTAAAAATGTAATAGTAAATTCGTAACAGCAGTGATTTCCTTGAATTCAATAACAGTGAATTATTGATAAAATATTAAATTTCAGTATTTTTCACGTTTGAAAATAAATTTTATATTCAATTATGACAGCAATGAAAATGGCGAATTTGGTTCTAATTTGCACGATTAATCGTCAAAAATATTTCGTTAAACAGGCGATTTCGTTATAGAAGTTTGTTATACAGTAGTTTCATTCTTGTAGTACCTGTGAGGCTATGCCCAGTGACCGCATACCGTATAACTTGATATTTAACTGAAAAAACAATTTCGTAATTTTTCGAAATAATTTTATATTTAAAAATGTAAACACTTAGATATCAATTTATTGCTTGAATTCAAATAAAATTCCTATATAGTTGTTTAGTAACGTAGTATAGGTAAAATTAATTATAATACGGGCTATTAGGTATATTATTTTGATAATTTAATATGCCGTAAAACCTCTTTTTATATCGGAATCTCTCTGTTTCAACATATTTTTCAGTAATATAGAATTTTCCTTTAGGGTTACTACAATATATTAACTATAGGAAATGCAAAATTAATGTGATTTTCCTTTTTATGGAGATTTTCGTCTTACAGTGGGTCCGTTCTTGGGAGGTTTTACTATATATTACAAATTATAAATAACACTTTGATTGTATTTGAATGTCGATTTATATAGTACCATATGCCATATATAGTGTTAATCAAAGTTTGTAGAAATGAAGAGCGTTTTAATACTAATTCGAAAGACAATCGTTGCACATCAATCACAATTATTAGGGTTGCCATCCGTCCCGATATATCGAGACTGTCACCGATATTGAGCTCTCTGTCCCGATGTCCCGATAAAAGACTAAAATGTCCCGATTCATAAATCCCAAATAAAAAAGATTTTTTGTTCAACTTATTAATTTCTGACAAAACCGGCGTGCTCCGAAGCGCTCTGATAGCTATATGCGTTCTCTCGTGGTGCGGACTTTAAAATCCAATTAAGTCGTTATCGTAATAGTTAATGTTATTTTTTATATTAATTTTTTAAATAAACTAAAAATCACGAAAGAAAATGCCAACTGTTGAAATTATGCGAGTATTTGTTTGCAATTCCTGCACACAATGCCACAGTGGAAAGAGTTTTTTCATTAATGTTGGCCCAGTGGACTGATGAACGAAATCGCCTGATTCTAGAGACCTTGGAGTCAATTCTACAGTGTCAAATTAATCATAACATGACTTGCCAAGAGTTCTATCAATCTATTAAAGGGGAGAAAGAATTGTTGAAAAAAGCAAAATCTTCTGAAAAGTATAGTCATACAAGTACTTCTGCAATAAATTAAAAATATTTTTTTGTATGTAACCTTAATAAATAAACAGATAATTTATCTAAAATAAAGAGCTCTAATTTTTATTTCAAAATTGAGTATTTTTATACACTCTATCCTAGAATTCCTAAAACGTCCAGAAGAGACTCTAGTCAAATATGGCAACCCTAATCACAACGTATAAACGGCAAACAAACTAAAATTAACTAAACAAACAAATTGACTTATTTTCATCAATCGACTAATTGAAGCATTGATTGATTGATAAATCGAGAGGTTGGGTGAAATATGAACGACCGGATCCTATGACCTCATATGTTGACACTGATGTTTAACTGTATATAATTGATGCCTCTTGCTGGTTAGGTTAGAGATATGCCTCTAGCTTATGTACCATAACACATATCGGCCAATCGGATCATAGCTTTTTGTGATTAAACTCAACATTAAATATTTGTATAAAAAATAAATCATATTTCATAGCATCAATTTTATGAAATATTATTATTACATTACTGATATATTATTCTTTCACGAAAAATTCCAAAAAATTATAACTATCGCTATTTAGTTACTACCAAGTGACAGATTCATACAAAATCTCGTATGTAGTGTTAAAACGTATAAAAATATATGAAAACAAATAATTTGTCAAGATTAATATACAATAATGAATATAATATGGATAACCGACTTTATAATAATAGTTGAGTTTTCCTTTTTTCAATTAAGAATATTTGAACTTGGAGCCTATATAAATATTAAAAATTATACATTTATACCTAGTTATTCATGACTCGGGTACATAAATCGTAATTTATATATTTGAATTATCTTTATATTTTATAAATTATCTCAGATTTATAGTTTAAAGTAATATTTTTCTAAATTAAAACATCATCACTCTTGTTCGATAAATATAATAATATTGTGGACGATCCTAAATTCCAATAATGGTAACATGATTGAGAAAACAGCGTTATTATACAAAATAATCAGCTAATTATAATAAATAATTATATTATACATTAGTATTATTAGAAATATACATTAGTATTTATGTGACTTGGGCACTTGACGCGGCGGTATTGCTGCAATCATTCACACAACGTGATTGAGTGTACGCACCATTTGATGCCACTAGTTCTAGGATGGGTGACCAATGACCATCAGGGTTCTAAGAGGCGAAAACATTACCAAAAATACTAAACTAACCATATCTAATGGCCTATATTGCCACGGGGTTAATTAATTACAATAATAATGAAATAAAAAAAATATAGTAGTAATATATTATATTATACAAAGCCGTGACTGGATGAGGTTTTCAGAAACCCAGACTCCTCCAAAATTTTTAAAAAGTAAAAAAAAAAAATGTTAGCTCTGAATATTGTTTGTTAAATTTTGTAATAAAAACAATTTTATATTTTCATTAAAACAAAAATAATGAGAATAAAGAGTTTTTATATTTTGAACGTCACAATAACAAATAATATACGGTAGGTAGGTGTCTAAAATAAAAAAAAAGTTGCATCCCATCAAAATTTGTTTTTGGTTATGGTCATGATACCTATTGTATAATATTATAATCTATAACATAATAATAATGTACAAAATTGCAATGATAATAATAGAAATGTTATCATAATGTAATATAATATTTTAGTTTACATTTCGAAACAATACGCTTCAGTTTATACATCAAGTCATCAACTTCATAACTATATTGGTATTTTATTATTGTATTTTACATCTGGTCATTAATTTATTTTTTTACGTTTAATTTACATTTTACCATTACATATTTATTTTTATGCTTTATTTTGAGAGAGAATTACATGTTTAAACTTGTGTAGATGAACAAATTGTAACTATACTTCAGAAATGTTACTTTACAAGAATAGTTMTTTTC